AATCGTTCACACTTCTGCTGTTTTAATTGTGTGAATGCCGTGTGGCATTCACACAATTAAAACTAAGTAGCTGCCACCATAGTTGAAAACTGGAATTGGCTGAGCCACGCTATGAATTCTGGGATAGGTTGGTCACGAAGAATACACCTGACCCATCCTTCAAATCTAGTGAAATGAAGCACGCATTTGACAGACCTGGGTATCAGTTCCCTCATCTGCAAATGGTTACTGGACTTCCTGACCAACCGCCCCCAACATGTCCGGCTGGATAACCGCTGCTCATCTACCATCACAATGAACACCGGTGTACCACAAGGCTGTGTGATGAGCCCTTTCCTCTACTCCCTCTTCACCCACGACTGCAGACCTGCTGATGGTTCCAACACCATCATTAAGTTTGCAGATGACACCACGGTGATTGGCCTCATCAGTGACAACGATGAGGCCGCCTACAGGGAGGAGGTGGATCGTCTGGCTGAGTGGTGCGACAGAAACAACCTGCTGCTTAACACCGAGAAGACCAAGGAGCTCATCGTGGACTACAGGAGGAATGCTGACCCACATCCACCCATCCACATTAAGGGGACGGCTGTGGAGCGTGTGAGCAGCTTCAAGTTCCTGGGAGTCCACATCTCCGAGGATCTCACCTGGACGACCAACTGCTCCAAGCTGGTCAAGAAGGCTCACCAGCGCCTCTTCTTCTTGAGGACTCTGAGGAAGAACCACCTGTCCTCAGACATCCTGGTGAACTTCTATTGCTGCACCATCGAGAGCATCCTGACCAACTGTATAACAGTCTGGTACGGGAACTGCTCTGCCTCGGACCGGAAGGCGTTGCAGAGGGTCGTGAAAACTGCCCAGCGCATCGCCGGAGCACCACTTCCTGCCATAAAAGACATCTACAGGAAGCGGTGTCTGAAAAGGGCTGGGAAAATCATCAAAGACCCCAGTCACCCATCACATGGACTCTTCACCCTCCTGCCCTCTGGGAGGCGCCACAGGAGCCTCCGGACTAAGACCACCAGGTACTGGAACAGCTTCTTCCCCACAGCTGTCAGACTCCTGAACTCTGCCTCCTGACATCTGACCCACGTTAAACTCATGGACTGAACATACACACACCCACAATGGACAACTGTACCCTCAAACACAATAATAACATGGACTGAACCACCACTCACAACCACTAGCACTTTATATAGCCTCTGTAGAAACTATCTACACCCTCACTTATCTTAACTGCACTACTGTATAGCTCTGTGTAAATAATCATTCTGTACATTCGATAATCTTTAATCCTACAACTGTTTACAACTTGCATAGTTCCCATTTCTGTATAGCTGTATATCCCAGATTCTGTAAAGTTATTTATTTCATATTCTGTATAGTTTTTCATATTTATATCCTGTTCATATCCTGTACATAGCTTGTACTCACTACAGCCTGTACATACTTATAGTTATAGAATATTCACAACATACTTCATACCGTGTACATTATAACATACCATAATAGACCCATTTCTGTAATATACTCACATATCTATATTATTGCTAATATATATTGTAATATATCTATATCACTAAAGCACTTCTGGATGGATGCAAACTGCATTTCGTTGCCCTGTACCTGTGCATGTGCAATGACAATAAAGTTGAATTCTATTCTATTCAATTCTATTCTATTCTATTCTATTTGTCGACTGCATTTGGAGAAGTCTTCTAGTTTGGACAGCCTTTGTTGCGTCACTGTAACGTTATCACCTACGATACTGGAAACTGCTTCTTCTTCTTTGGCGTTTAACGGCAACTGGGATTCTTGTAGATGCAGTGCTGCCATCTTCTGTTTCAGTCCGTTAGTACACTCTTGAATCCTACGTATTCCTGTGTCTTTCAGGATCTTACAAAGCTTCAAAGGATGCGTCAACTATTAAATTAGTTGTCAGCAAATTTAATAGTCGAAGTAATCGTGACTAGTTGACAAATCCTGGCAGCCCTAACGGCTAATGCCTCCTTCTCTATTTGAGTATATCTTTGTTGTGTGGGGGTTGATGCTTTTGAAGTGAAGGTCACTACCTTGGTTGAGTCTTCCTCTTGTTTCTGAAGTAGCACTGCTCCCAGTCCATAGGAGGATGCTTAAGGCTGATACTGTTGTTTGTGCTTTGGGACTGTAGACTGCCAGGTACTCAGTACTGACTTAATGCTGTCAAACACTGTTTGTTGAGCCTCACTCCAACAGTACTTTTTTGCTACGGCGTAGTTCTCTCAATAGCTGTTTTTTCTGCTTGGTGGGGAAACATTGCCTTGATGATTAACCATTTTCAGAAATTGTCTCGCTCCACTTACATCAGCCTCCATGTTGCTGACCATGTTCACTTTTTCTGGGTCTGCTTTGACGCTTGTACTGTCAATGATCTGTCCAAGCAACTTGATCAAGGTTTTTGCAAAGTCGCATTTCTCACTTTTCAATGTCACACCTGCTTTTGTGAACCACACAAGGACTGCGACTAGTCTCTTGTCGTGCTGGGCCTGTGTGTCCAAAATGTCATCCATTTGGCAGACAACTTCGTCCAGCCCCTCCAAGACTTGAGACATTCATTTTTGAAAATGCTCAGGAGCTGAAGATATGCTGAAACAGAGTCTATTGAAACAATACCTTCCAAATGGCATGATGAAGGTTGTGAAAAGAGCTGACTGCTTGGAAAAAGGTATTTTCCACAATTCTGAGTTAGCATCGAGTTTTGAGAAGAACTTTGTGCCTTCTAGCTGTCCTACGGTGTGCTATACTGATTGCAACATGTGTCTTTCTCTTTTCACAGAATTGTTACGTTTGGTCAAGTCAATACACACACTTCTTCTCTGTTTGGTTTGGGTACTGGAAAGATTCCTGCACAGCAGTCCAGTAGACTGCTACACTCTGGAGATTACCCCTAACTCTTCTATACAAGCTAGCTCCTTTTTGATTTTAGGCAGTAGGGAAGTGGGACCCTTTTTGGGGTCAACAGGTAAATGGCTTAGCATCTGCTTTAAGCTCAATTTTGTATTCCCCCTCCATTTGTCCTAAACAGCTAAGTAGCTTCAGAAACTGCTGCTTTACCGCCTCTGCTGAAGGGAGTGACGCTGCTTCTACTCTGTCCACTAACCCAAGCTCTACACTTGTTGGGCAGCTAAGTAACCCTTGTGTCAGGTCTGCTACTACATACACAGTATTGTAGTGTTGCCCGGAGTACTCAGGTTAGCTGTAAATTTCTCTGTAACTGCTAACTGCTTTCTTTTGTAACTGCTTTTTTCTTTCAGGCAAGACTGTTACATCCGCTCTTTTGTCAATTTTGAGCCAACAGGTCTATATTGTTAACTTTTTTTTTTAGTCATCCATGCATCCTCAGTTCTATCAGATGCTACTGTGCTACTTCCCTCTCTTCAATGTCACCACCTGCTGCCCATATTTCTCCCAGTGCCCCCGACCTGCACACTCTTGCATAGTGACCTTTCTTTTTACACTGATTGCAGACTACCTCTTTGGCTGGGCACAGCTTTTTGCTGTGAGGTGTTGTCTTTCCACATCGATTGCATTGCCTTGTGTCATGTTTCATGTTCCTCTCTGTGTTTTGTGGCACAGTCTGTTCTGGTTTGAAATGTTTTATCTTTGCTAATGATGTCCACGTTGCAAGGATTCTCCTGCTTGAAGTTGTTTTTAAGAAGATGCTGGTGCTTCTTAACAAGCTCACTTTGGGGAATCCCTATCACTGCTTTTTCTAACATGAGCTCTGCATCCACTTGCAGTTCCTCCGAGAGCCTCTTGTCTCTCATTCCGACAGCGAGTCTGTCAATTATCATTTCACTGTACAGCGCCCCGTAGTCACAATGCTACGCCAAGGCATATAGGGATGTAATAAACCGATCTGCCGTCTCTCCCACTTCTTGCTGCCTTCGGTTGAACTTTTCATGTTTAAAAGATAATGTTTCTTCTGACTACAAAGTGTGCCTTAAGTTTGTTTTTGAGAGTGTGGTACTCACCTCCGTCAGGTTCATTGAAGTGATCATGTCTTCAGCTTTATAGCCCAATGAATATATTAGAGAACCAGGGCTGGCCATTATTCTAACTCACCCTGGTGTGTGATGCTTTGCAGCTTCCTCACAGAAGCTGATGTCACAGGATGTCACAGCATCTCTATAATAATCCAAACTGTTGATAACAATTCTGAAAACCTGCCAGTCAGTGCAGTCCAGACACACCTGCAGATTCTCCACAGCCTCATCAGTCCACTGCTTCAGTGTCTTCACAAAAGCTTTAGACAGTTTCAGTTTGTGCCTGTTTGCAGGGATCAAGTGAACCATGACATGCTCTAAGAATCTTGATGTAGTTTGAGATGATGATACTCTTACTATCAGCTCACCTTCTGTTTTGTACTGTGTTTTTTTTATCCATTTTGTTTAATAAAATCTATGAGGTTCAAATGAAGCACCAAACTGCAGTTACTCAGTGGAGGTTCATTACTGCAGTTTCTCACCACTGTTGTTAACTGGAGGCTGACACACTGACTGAAGACATTTAGTTTGAGTGGATTTGAGCTTTCCATCTCAGCTTCTTTTGGTCAAGGATGAAATACATATAAATATATTTTTGTTCCAGCTGATCATCAGGAGGAGACGAGCCATTTAGACTCAGCTCAGCCACTACAGAGGAAACAATGACTTCAACCCAAAAGGTGAGCAAGAATATCTGTTATTGAACCTGTGTGCAGGTTACAACTCTCATTGTAGCTCATAATTGTAATGTGATAATATCAGCAGAAGGTGGTGGTAACACACCTACGACGTGTTTGTTGACATCTTTGATTCCACTAATGGAGTCAGTTTCAGTTTGTTCCACGACTGCATTTCACTCACTGCCTCTGTTTGTATCTCTGTCACTGCAGGACCAACACGGAGCGAGAAGTCAGCGCTCTCAGGAGGCCGACAAACCTCACAGAAGAAAGAGAGAGAAAACATACAGCTGTGATGAGTGTGGGAAGGATTTTACCCTGGCTGGGAGCTTAAAAAGACACAAAGTCATCCACAGTGGAGTTAAAGCGTACAGCTGTGACTTGTGTGGAAAATCTTTCAACCGGGCTGGAAGCTTAAAAACACACCAACTCATCCACAGTGGAGTTAAAGCGTACACCTGTGACTTATGTGGAAAATCTTTTACTTTTGCTGCTAACTTAAAAAGACACCATCTCATCCACAGTGGAATTAAAGCGTACACCTGTGACTTGTGTGGAAAATCGTTTACCCACGCTGAAAGCTTAAAAACACACCGACTCATCCACAATGGAGTTAAAGCATACACCTGTGACTTGTGTGGAAAAAGTTTTACTTTGGCTGTTAACTTAAAAAGACACCAACTCATCCACAGTGGAATTAAACCGTACACCTGTGACTTGTGTGGAAAATCTTTTGCCCACGCTGGAAGCTTACAAACACACCAGCTCGTCCACAGTGGAGTTAAACCGTACACCTGTGACTTGTGTGGAAAATCTTATATCCACGCTGAAAGCTTAAAAAGACACCAACTCATCCACAGTGGAGTTAAACCGTACACCTGTGACTTGTGTGGAAAATCTTATACCCACGCTGAAAGCTTAAAAAGACACCAACTCATCCACAGTGGAATTAAACCTTACACCTGTGACTTATGTGGAAAGTCTTTTACCCAGCCTAGAAACTTACAAACACACCAACTCATCCACAGTGGAATTAAACCTTACACCTGTGACTTGTGTGGAAAATCTTTTACCGAGGCTGGAAGCTTAAAAAGACACCAACTCAGCCACAGTGGAGTTAAAGCATACAGCTGTGATCAGTGTGGTAAAGCTTTTACTCACAGTGGCCTCTTACAGCGTCATCAAGTTATCCACTCTGGATTTAAGGCGTACAGCTGCCACATATGTGGAAAAACCTTCCACTTGCTAGGCAGCCTAAATATTCACCTCCGCATTCATACTGGAAATGACGTTTACTGCTGTGATCAGTGTGGGAAACTGTTTGTGAGATATAAAGACTTAGAACGCCACATGTTTACCCACACTGTGGGGAGACCTTATAAATGTGACCTGTGTGAGAAGACTTTTAAAGCGCCACGTTACCTTAAAATCCACCAACAGAGCCACACCAGAAAGAAACTGCAAGTGCAGTTACTGTGAGGTATGTATGTATATTATTATCTTCTTGTTTAAGACTGACTGTTTCGTTCAACTGTGCTCATTAAATTGTGTTCGAATGTTAGTAATTCTACTGGACTCAATTTTGGAATTTTGGAAACAGTGCATTTAGATAATGACTGAAACCAGCCCACTGAAGGAACAATGTGCTGGGAGTTCAGTTCCTTAAGCTTAATTATGCAGATTCTCATGACCATTGATCAACAACCACTGACCATTATGCAAATGTACTGTTTATAAGATTGGGGGAAACTTGCAGTCAGCTGAGACTGAAGGAGTCACTTGGATGAGTGACGAAACGTTTCTCCCACAAAATTATATGTCCAGATGAACAGAATCAATTTTTGGAGGTTTACTTACCTGGATGATTGAGCATGCATCAAGATGGGTTGACAATGTTTCTTTCTCGCTGATATAACGGGACACCTCAACGAGTTACAAAATATGATCCCCAGATAACACAACTTTCAAATACAAAGCAGCGGCAGGGATCACATTAATCTGCAAATCCTTGTATAAAGATAAGTCATATTAGCCCAGTTTATTTTTTCTTATCATTGTTTTTGGGGCGAATGTGGCTCAAGAGTTGGCAGTTCTTCTTGTAATCGGAAGGTTGCCGGTTCGAGCCCCGGCTCCGACAGTCTCGGTCGTTGTGTCCTTGGGCAAAACACTTCACCCGTTGCCTACTGGTGTTGGCCAGAGGGCCCGGTGGCGCTAGTGTCCGGCAGCCTCGCCTCTGTCAGTGCGCCCAAGGCAGCTGTGGCTACAATGTAGAGCTGGGCGATATGAGATTTTTTCATATCACGATATGTTTTTTTTCATTTCAGGCGATAACGATATCTATCACGATATAAGCCAAATAACTATATTTGTAAGATTTAAATGTGCCGTTGCTCACAAGTAAAATGTGAAATAATCAGCAGCTTGTTTTTATTTAAATATTTATTTCCCATAATAAGTTCAACAGGGTAGATGTACTTAAGGAACATGAGACTTTTTCAGATAAATAAAGGCAAATATTGCAAACTACACAAAAGGCAGCCGCTAAAGCGTTTAAGTTTCAAAATAGAACAAACGAAACAGACTAAATTGTCAATTCCACTTAGAAACAAAATATTAATTCTAAAAATAAATCTTAGTTTGTTTTACAGAAGAACAGACAAAATTGACTAACTTTTGTCAATATCAAATAAACTGAGAACTAAAAGGAAATTCTCAATCTCTCCTTGTTGTATAGCTTAGCTTTTCAAACAGTTTTAACAGTTACTTTAGTCTGACAAAAGCCGAATGACGAATTAGCGCTTCCAGTCAGAGACTGAGGCTACGTCCACACGTACACGGGTATTTTTGAAAACGGAGATTTTCCTTTTTCGTTTTAAAAAATAATCCCGTCCACACATAAAGGCAGAAATAAAGGAAAACGCTGCTATGAACATGCCAAAGCAGCAGGTGGCGCTAGATTCCTAACCGTGCAGAAATATTGGCCAATCAGAAGTCTAGAAGCCTCGGTGGGAAAAAGTAAACAAAGCTGGGGCATAGAAGCAGAACCGAGTCGTATGTGTGGAGGGACAGTAACTGTGTGTATATGTAAGCATTTAAACACTGCAGAGAGTAGAATTAACAGTAACAGTATTGTAGAAATTCATTTCACCGAAACAATAACGTGGCGCACAGTGTGACGCATGCACCAGTTTATTGTATTTCCAGACTTGCTTTCGGCACAATTTACAGTGAACGCTACTCTGTTTTTTGTCAGACTTGAAATAGCCGAAATACCTTCACACTACGGAACTTCTATGGCTCTTCCGTTCGACAATCTCTCCGGCATTGGAACCATCATCTGTTTTCTCTTCGGTCACGCTCGGTTGATTTTTCTAGTCGGCACACTCATTTCCTCCATTACGCGCTGGCTCCATTACCCGCTGGCTGCTTCCCAAACAAACACACGTGCGGCTTGGCACTTGTGCTGTAACAAGTCACGCCACGTGACGCTGCGGCTGTGATTGGTTCGGCTCTGCGCTACTTAATTTGGATTGGCTGACCTTTTTTTTTTTTTTAAAGAGGACAAGAGCGAGGTCTATCGCGATAGCTTAATTTCTCTATTGAGTAAAAGTTATATCGCGATACATATCGTTATCGTTCTATCGCCCAGCTCTACTACAATGTAGCTTGCCATCACCAGTGTGTGAATGGGTGGATGACTGAATGCAGTGTCAAGGTCCATAGGGATTAAGTAAAGCACTATACAGGCCATTTACCATTGTTGTGAGGCGACCATTAATAGCATCTGCATTTTCTGTTTGTATAGTTCCTTTGCTGTTATGGTGTTCTTGTTATGGATAAAAAAAATTTTTTTTGAAATATAGCAAATCTATTTCTATGAAGTTGTTCTATATAGTGTGTAAGATAAGATGACCTTTATTAGTCCCACAGGTGGGAAATTTGTCTCATTACAGCAAAAGTGCAAAGTTATGTAGCACTTAGCAGTTATGTAACTGTTGATATGCAGCATTATTAAATTTATTGTTAATGCAATTGTTGATATGGTAAATTGACTTTTGAGGAAATTTTAGATGGCACTCATCATCAGAAAGGTTGCCTACCACTGGTAGAAAGGTTGCTCTACAACAAAGACATTTATTGAGTCTCAGTACCAGGTCACTTTACTCTAGCATGCAAAGTGCTTTACCGTGTTGTAAAAAGCACCTTGAGTGCTCAGGCAGAGTAAAAAGGTGCTTTATAAGAATCAATCCATTTTACTTGTATTTACTAAATGAACAACGGGAGGGTCATCTAACTAAAACCAATCAGTGTATCCCACCTGACCCCCTCAGAATCAGCTTACTTTTTATTTCAGGCCACTTTCAGAATTAAAATGTTGAAGGAATTCCCTGACTTACACTGTCTTTGTGTCTTTGTTTAGAAGCAGACCGACACAGATGGATCCAGTTCTCAACCCTGTCATCACTGTGGTGGTGGGAAAGAGTTTCACTGTGACCTTTTGTGGAAAAACTTTCACTCTGCAACAGACCCTAAAAATCTGGACTTCTTTAAATTGCTTGAAGATTATTTCACCTCTCAACCGAGAATCTTCTTCAGGTCTAAGGTCAAATGGTGGAGAGTTCCAGATTTAAGCTCTGTGGGAGCGTCCCCCTTAGAGGGACCTCCTAATGATCCTCTACCTAATCACACAAGAGAAGGTGTGAAAACGGGTGTAGGTAGGATACAATTTATACAAGGAGTATAAAAGAGGTGATATTTTTGGTGTCAATGCTGGTGTGAAGATTGTGCTGTTTTGATTGCTTTGCAAATATTCATTTCAATAAATCCAAGGAAATATTTGGTTTCAACGTTCAGTTTATTTTTAGGAAATATTCCAACAGTTAAGTGTTGATAAATGAACTTGAGTCTCTAAAAATGGGCTAAAGGAGATGTGAAGTGCAAACATATGTACATTGTGTGTAATGGGATTTGGCAAGGTTGAGAGATCTCCCGGATATAAAGAAAAATGTAAATACGAGACTGACAAAAAAATTGATATTAAAGACTTAATAAAGCAAAACACTGGATGGTACAGCTCATGAAGGCACAAACATGGCCTGCTACTGGATGTGTGAGAGGCAGAGAGAAGGGGACGGGCTCCCAGACATCGCAGTGAAGGTCAAAGGTGAAAATAAGACATGCAGAGAGAAGTCACTCACTGTCTGTGCATGTTAGGAATATAGTGATTAAATAAAGATCATTTAGTGAATTTTTTTTAAAAATTTTTTATATATATATATATACATTGCAATGGTTCTCATTAAGAGTTGGCCCTCCATGTAATAATGGGTAAAAGAGTGAATTTGGCTCTATGATTGAACTGAATTATTGAGACTGACATGTAGAGCTGCAGAGGGATTTCCAAACATGCTTAGATATCATAGCCAGTTTAAGTCAGGGTGCAATTTTCCTGCGCCAAATTAGTCTGAACAGAATATCCTAGACTTATATAGTAAGTACAAAATTACAGGCTGAGAATTGTTAGATAATAGTGTAACCCATGTGAAATACAGGGCTGTAAAATCCCCCCCCCCCCCTTCTTTTTTTTATCTAAGGCTATAGCCTGTTATTGTCAGAAGGGGGTGCTGTAATGCAGTTTTGTGTTCTGACAACCGTGCGTCTAGTGCGCAGGAAGCATTACCTGTCTCTTCCTATGAGATCTTCCCTCTCTGATGGCAGTCAAGTGTGTGTCGGAGCTCACCGAAAAGTATTTGGTATGCAATGCTGCAACCTGATTAATGAGACCAGATTGTTTTACGTATAAATGCTAATAAGCTACTCTTTTATTAGGCCCCGAACTCTGACCACAAAGGGAATAACGTCTGTCCAGTTATTTGTGTTGGAATATCCCAGTGAGTGACATGCCGTTTGTTCATCAAATTTGGTGTGTTGTTTTACTTTTCTTGTTGTTCTTCACAGTGTGTTATAAGTGTTGAATGCTTTGAGCTAAAGGTGTTTTACTGCCGATGCTAGCTGCTAATAGCTGTTAGCTACCCTACCCCCACGAAGCCATATTCCGATCGGGG